TTTCTGCTCTTAGAGCTTATTAATGTAATCTCATCTTGCCCATGATCTTAGCAAAGCATTATGATATCATCAATAATCTAATTAATTAGGGACTCCAGAGTTGAGATTTAAGTTACAATAATTTGTCTGAAATTCGCGCCTCGTGATAATGGATCTGATTTTATCAGTCGACTATGTTGTTTGTTGCAGCTGTTGATGAAATTATTGAGCTTGAGTCCTTGCAATATGACTTTGCCACTATCGGGGCAGCTACAAATAACTTCAGCGATGAAAATAAGCTTGGACAAGGAGGATTCGGAGCTGTTTACAAGGCAATGTTTATTATGAAACTGAAAAGAACATTAATCGTCTATCTAGATGTATTAAATTAACTTGAAAGTATTTGAAAGTCATTGAACTCAAATGTAACGCCATTTTACAGGGCCAGCTTCCCAACGGACAAGATGTAGCTGTTAAAAGGCTATCTAGGGGTTCCGGACAAGGAGACTTAGAGTTTAAGAATGAAGTTGTCTTAATGGCCAACCTTCAACACCGCAATCTAGTCAAGCTCCTTGGTTTCTGCTTGAAAGGAGATGAAAGACTTCTCATCTATGAATTTATGCCAAACTCGAGTCTTGATCATTTCATATTTGGTAGGTGCTCTTTCCATTTTCCTATCTGGAGTCAGATATCATATTGTGTTCATAAATAAATACATTTGTGTTTGCTAGTATGTTTTCAAAGAAATAAGCCTTTAAGTTTTGGTAATCAAGAAAGCAATCGATATTTCTAAATTGATATCTTAGTGATTCCCTCTTAATTATTTTGTTTGTCTTAATCACATGCCATCATGGACCATGAACATGTGTAGATCCAATAAACAAGGCCCAATTAAATTGGGAAAGACGTTACAAAATCATAGGAGGCATTGCTCGAGGGCTTCTTTATCTTCATGAAGACTCTCAACTACGAGTTATTCATCGGGATCTTAAGCCCAACAATGTTTTGCTAGATGAAGAGATGAATCCAAAAATTTCAGATTTTGGTATGGCAAGATTGTTTGTGGTAGATGATACTCAAGACTCTACAAGTAGGGTTGCTGGAACATAGTAAGTATCACAATCTTAAAATGTACATTTCATTGTTTTGTACCCCTTGTAAATTTTGTTCCCCTTGTAAATTTTGTTCATAATGCTTAAAAATGTTGAATTGCAGTGGATATATGGCTCCAGAATATGTTACGCATGGACACTTCTCAGTAAAGAGTGATGTTTTTAGTTTCGGCGTAATGCTTTTGGAGATTTTGAGTGGTCAAAAGAATAATTCTCCTTGCAATGGGGAGGATGTAGCAAACCTAATAAGTCTAGTAAGTCTATGAGATTAGGGGATTGATTCAAGGGACCAGAAAAGAAGGACAAAATCATAGGACAAAAAAAATCAATACTATCAATGTGCTGTGGTTGTGATTTTTTTTGTTCTACATGTTCACCCCATTTTCTAGTCCCTTTTATCTTTTTCCATGAGATTTAACATAACATACATGAAATTCAACATTTTGAAAGATTAGTTTTCTGTAGTGTAAAATATGTTCTAATTTTTCTTTTTGCTGCAGGCATGGAGAAATTGGAGGGATGGGACCGCACTAAATGTTGTAGATCCCAATTTGAGAGCGGGTTCAACTGCTCAAATGATAAGATGCATCCATGTCGGATTACTTTGTGTGCAAAAAAATCAACTACAAAGACCAACTATGGGATCAATTATTGTCATGCTTACCGACAATTCTATAGCTTTGCCAACACCCTCTCAACCAGCCTATTTATTGCAAAGCACAACTCAGTCAGAAATGTCATCTTCGAATGAATCCCAACAACCCAGCAATAGACTTGCCTTGGCTTCAATAAATTGTGTTTCAATTTCTGAGTTACATCCAAGATAGCTATTCTGAGCTTCATTCAAAATAGATAGAAGTTGAAGACCTATATAGATTATTGTTTATGAATTCTTATCGTTAAAATTTTGGAACAAGATGTTGTAGTTTCAAAGTGATATTAGGGAAAGGAAGGTATGTATTCAATCTTGTCAAGTATCAATAAAGAATATTTTTCAACAAAAGAACAAAGAAAAACTAAAGAGAAATGTGCTTTTCAATAGAGATTACACTTTTTTTGAACAATATGAGTACTGAAATTACCAAAACACCAATAATCAATAACATAAAGGGTAATTTCATTAATTATATTCTGGTAGTTTTATTACTCAAACTGCAAAATAATGTAGTCTATGTTAAAAAACACTTTTATGAAAACTAAGTCTTTTGTCTTCTCGTTTAGATTTGTTTATAACTCATAAGAGATGATAAGACTCTGCAATGCCAATTCAATTAATCTAAAAACCATGCTTACCTCCGAAAAGGAATGCTTTATAGGTTAAATGCTAATTTTGATTGTCAACTTTATAGTGTTATATAATTTTTATTTTTTAATTATTTTTTTTATTTTTTGATCCTTCAACTTTAAAAATTATACAATTTTAAAAATTACATAATTTTGATCCCTCCACCAACTAAAACCATTAACTCGGTCCATGCAGCATTTTTAAAATTTTTTCTAATGATGTGGTAATACAACTTAAAAAAGTACTAACATAGATTAAAATTTATTTCACGTAATATTCTCACTAACCAAACACACCAAAAACATCTCAAGTAGTCTCACATCACATTGCCTAAAGAACTAAATAAAAGGGGAAAAAACTGTGACCATTTTGTAAAACCTATAATTAAGGGGAAAAATTTTGTGGCTATTTTGTAAACCCTAGAATTCTCTCTCACTTGCACTCCAGAAGCAAAATCGAAACTTTGATCTTCAATGCATAACAGTTTTGCAGGTGTTTGGCCATTTTTGAACACGTTTAGATTTTGTGAACTCAAAAATCTGGATACGAAAGCCCAAAAATCTAGGTTTCCACAAACCTAGTTCAAACCCAAATTTGGGTTTGTCTAAACCAATTCATTTAGGCACAACTCAAATTTGAGTTCATTTGAATCTAATTCATCTAGCTAGGTTCCATGCGAACCCAAATCTGCTGGGTTTGATGAAAGGGAATGCAGAGGAGAAAGGAAGAAATAAGGGGATAGATGATTGAAGAAGGTAGAAGGGAGGGATTTCAAGAACATATTTGTAAGAACCTAGAATTCTTGGTTTCAAAACCCATAAATCTGGGTTTGTATAAATCCAGATCTAGGAAGAATGAGGAAATGAAGGGATAAAAGTGAGAGGAGGAAGAGAAAAAGAAAGAGATCGAAGAAGGTAGAAGGGAGAAAGTGCCAGAGAAAAGAAAGGAACGGGGAGGAAGGGTTGAACAATGGTGTTGAGGAACATGAATGGAGAAAAAAAAAAAGGGCAAGGATTGGGGAAGACGATGAAGATTGTAGGGGTATAAGTGTAATTTTAAAATATTTTAAATATTAAACAATTATAATGAGTTTGGGAATAAGATTTGACTTTTTTGGGTTCATGTAAATCGATTGTTTACTGTGTTATCGCC